CGACAACTGTGTTGCATCGGTCCAAATCTCGAGCGATTCTACGATTTGACGGCCGCTGTTCCTTTTTTGCGGGAATTTGACTTTTGTCGTAAACGGATAGCGACTTTCCTCTACCCATTACCTGGAATTGCGACGCATCACGCAAATGAAGCAAATGNGAAGGGTTAACGGCAAGTTTCACTTCGAGAATACAGACAATCTTCCCCTATACTCCTCCAGAAAGGGTCACTTTGCCTGTGTTCCGAAATGGTGTAGCCCTGACCAAAGCAATTTGCTCAACTGCTAAATGATAGCAAAAAGAGGAAGTTGTGTGAATAACAACAATTGGGCGACACTTCTTCCGAACTTTCCTTGAAAATACAATTGCCTACGCTAAAGTGAAGGCTATCAATGATTCCCGGCCAGTTTGGTGCCAAACATCGACGATTGCTTGCTTCAGCTTACGATGCCTCCATGTAGCCCCTTTCCATCAAAAACTTGCTTATGAATCCTCATGCGTTTTCCGTCCGATTCATGTCAGAGCTCTTAGCCGGCCAGGGCAAGAGATCGATTTGTGCCGACTAAACCAGCCCTGGATGCTATCATACCAAAACTCACCCTCCCTTGGAATTTCGTCTGAAAAAGAAAAGCTTATCCTCGCTCAGTTCGTTCCAATGGAGCCAATTACCATGTTGACCATCACGGTTAAACTTTTTTCATCGGTAAAAAGAAATCTGGAGAATGAAACTTCAAGAGAAAGAAGAGTAAACAACGAGAAAGGAAGGCGCCCCACTCCAATCGGTTCGAATACGATTCCTGGCGGAAGCGGCCCTGTGCTGTATCGCGATGCTTTTCGGTCATAAAGGGTGCCTACCTCATCCTTTGCCCAACGATAAACTCAGACCTATCTCACGTTCCAAATGAAATCTTCGAAAAATTGAGCTTTAAAAAAGACCTGAGTTGTGCTCGACGCTCCTCTCAAAATCCGTAGCTTGTCACTTTCCAAAGGTTAAGATAGACGTCCCGTACTTCTTTTGGTCCAATCGTCCCATACTCTGCAGGACTCCTGACGAAATTGTCGACAACTGTGTTGCATCGGTCCAAATCTCGAGCGATTCTACGATTTGGCGGTCCCTGTTCCTTTTTTGCGGGAATTTGACTTTTGTCGTAGTCGGATAGCGACTTTCCTCTACCCATTACCTGGAATTGCGAAGCATCACGCAAATGAAGCAAATTTGTAAGGGTAAAATGGAACGCGACGGAAAATTATAAGGTGGCTGTATCATTCTGAAAC